TTTTCTTATTAATTTTGGTGCGTAGAATCCAAAACAATCCGTACTTTTTCGATCAGACTTCTCAATCAAAAGTTATAGACTAGAAACCAATTTCGAAAGAAAATTCAAAGGGCTGTAACTTTTGAACTAGTAGCCCAATCTTAAAACTGTTTGAAATTATGGATTCTACAGGCCACATTCTATAAGAAAAAGTTTTTTCCAGTCGTTCCGAGACAATTTTTTTTTGGTGCCTCAAAAAAAGCCAGTAGTACAACCTTCCTTTTTTTCCAAAAATCGACTGTACCAAAATTTCTCGGGAAAACACTTTTTCTTATTAAATTTGGTGCGTAGCATCCAAAAGAATTCGTACTTTTTCGATTAGACTTCTCAATCAAAAGTTATAGACTAGAAACCAATTTCGAAAGAAAATTCAAAGGGCTGTAACTTTTTGACTAGTAGCCCAATCTTAAAAACTGTTTGAAATTATGGATTTTACAGCCACATTCTATAAGAAAAAAGTTTTTTCCAGTCGTTCCGAGACAATTCTTTTTTGGTGCCTCAAAAAAAGCAGTACAACCTTCCTTTTTTACCAAAAATCGACTGTACCAAAATTTCTCGGGAAACACTTTTTCTTATTAATTTTGGTGCGTAGAATCCAAAACAATTCGTACTTTTTCGATCAGACTTCTCAATCAAAAGTTAGAAACCAATTTCGAAAGAAAATTCAAAGGGCTGTAACTTTTGAACTAGTAGCCCAATCTTGGAACTGTTTGAAATTATGGATTCTACAGGTCACATTCTATAAGAAAAATTTTTTTCCGGGTCGATCTGAGACAATTTTTTTTGAGGGCCTCAAAAAAAGGCAGTGTAAACCTTCCTTTTTTACCAAAAATCGACTGCACCAAAATTTCTCGGGAAAACACTTTTTCTTATTAATTTTGGTGCGTAGAATCCAAAACAATCCGCACTTTTTCGATTAGACTTCTCAATCAAAAGTTATAGACTAGAAACCAATTTCGAAAGAAAATTCAAAGGGCTGTAACTTTTGAACTAGTAGCCCAATCTTAAAACTGTTTGAAATTATGGATTCTACAGGCCACATTCTATAAGAAAAAGTTTTTTCCAGTCGTTCCGAGACAATTTTTTTTGGTGCCTCAAAAAAAGGCAGTGTACAACCTTCCTTTTTTTCCAAAAATCGACTGCACCAAAATTTCTCGGGAAAACACTTTTTCTTATTAATTTTGGTGCGTAGAATCCAAAACAATTCGTACTTTTTCGATCAGACTTCTCAATCAAAAGTTATAGACTAGAAACCAATTTCGAAAAAAAATTCAAAGGGCTGTAACTTTTGAACTAGTAGCCCAATCTTGGAACTGTTTGAAATTATGGATTCTACAGGCCACATTCTATAAGAAAATTTTTTTCCGGGTCGATCTGAGACAATTTTTTTTTCGGGGCCTCAAAAAAAGGCAGTGTATAACCTTCCTTTTTTACCAAAAATCGACTACACCAAAATTTCTCGGGAAAACACTTTTCTTATTAATTTGGGTGCGTAGAATCCAAAACAATTCGTACTTTTTCGATTAGACTTCTCAATCAAAAGTTATAGACTAGAAACCAATTTCGAAAGAAAATTCAAAGGGCCGTAACTTTTGAACTAGTAGCCCAATCTTAAAACTGTTTGAAATTATGGATTCTACAGGCCACATATTCTATAAGAAAAAGTTTTTTTCCGGTCGTTCTGAGACAATTTTTTTTGGTGCCTCAAAAAAAGGCAGTGTACAACCTTCCTTTTTTTCCAAAAATCGCCTGCACCAAAATTTCTCGGGAAAACACTTTTTCTTATTAATTTTGGTGCGTAGAATCCAAAACAATTCGTACTTTTTCGATTAGACTTCTCAATCAAAAGTTATAGACTAGAAACCAATTTCGAAAGAAAATTCAAAGGGCTGTAACTTTTGAACTAGTAGCCTAGTTGGTTTCTAGTCTATAACTTTTAATTGAGAAGTCTGATCGAAAAAGTACGAATTGTTTTGGATTCTACGCACCAAAATTAATAAGAAATTGTGTTTTCCCGAGAAATTTTGGTGCAGTCGATTTTTTGAAAAAAACTTTCAATTCTTTAGCCAATCGCAACGTACCTATCATTTTCAGTTTGTAAGCTGAATTTTAAAGACTAGAGCCAACACAATTGTCCTCGAACGTACTATTTTGCGCAAAGAAGAAGTAGGAAGCGATCAAATTTTGACTTGTATATTTATATGTCTCCTCAATTAATAAAGGAGACATTAGACAAATTAAAGAAAGAATAATGTTAGATGGTATTTCTAATGAAAGATGTACTTACCACTGTAACCCCAAATATAATCACAAATAGAAGAGATGCTAAACCTATTACAATAATTGCAATAGCCCATTGAGGAAGAAGAACGTTGTCCTCAGCGTAACCCACCGTGGGCAATATTTGCTTTGGTAAAACTGCAACAAATTACAAGGTAGTTTTTTTTACCACATCACTAATCACAACATACCAACGAAATCAGTATAGGTGGGATCTATTATGAAATTTCCTAAACTCAGTCTTTCACCTTCGTCCAGCGAACTTCTCAAATCGCTCGACTTGGCTTCACGGTTGGTGCCGCTTTTTGCCAGCGCGTCCTGGAGGGCGTCGTTGAACATTGATTTTAGATCCGTGGTGCTAACTTCTCTGCTTACGTTGCTTAACTCCACCACGTAATCCACAAGAACGCTTCCTTTCGTAAATCCATCTATCCGAATTTTTTTGTACCATTTGCTTAGAACATCGGATTTGCTGTAAATATCTTCAAGCTGCAACAAAATTAACTGTTAGCATCATTCAGTAACAACTGCAAATATACCTGGTATTGAACCTCGTTGGCTAGAAGTTGCCATTCCTTGGTGTTTCGATCGAGAAGCTCTGGGGCCCATTTCGCTCCGCCCGTTAGCTTAATTGTTCCTACTAAATCGCATTCGGAGAGGCACAGACCAGGAGTTGTGGGTCTCGTTGTAGTTGTTGACGTTGTCGTTGTACTAGTGCTAGGTGTACTCATGGCTGCCTCGGTAGTTGTACTGGAAGTCGCGCCGGCTGCTGCACGTGCCCGTTCCAGTATTTTCTCAATGGAAAGCGGCGTCGTTGATGGAGTTGGCCACCCCGTAAACTCAGTTGTCGCACTAAAAACAACCAAACCAATACTCAACCAAAGATTCCTCACAAAACTCACCGTGTAGGCCAACCCTTATGTATCGAGGGCGGCGTATTCGCAGGTTCGTTGTAGTTCGATCGAGATCCCGACGCTTTTGTATTCTTTCTATGAGCACCTCCCGGCCTGCTCGGGAAGACGAGTTTAAAACCAGGAGCGGCGGTCGTAGTCGTTATTTTTTCGGTTGTTGTCGTAGTACTAACTTCGGTAGTTGTTGAAACCTTGCTCAGCCCAAATTTCGATTTGAAACCGGGGGGTAAGAAGGCGGAAATATCATCTTGTTTGGCACTTTCAAAAATATCACTTAAACTTTTTGGCTGGGCGGAAGTGCTCGAAATATCGGCTTTGGGCGTTGATACCTTGTAACCGGGAGGTAAAAATGCGCTTACATCGTCTTGCGTTGCGGTTTCAATGATCGACAGTGGTGTCTTTACCGTAGTTGACTTGGGCTGTTTGTATCCAGGAGGAAGGAAGGCTGATAGGTCATCAACCACGCTCTTCTTTAAAAGGTTTTCAATGGTGCGGTTCTTTGGCGCGTCCTCGGATGGTGGTTTGTATCCTGGAGGCAGAAACGCTGATATATTGTCAACGGCGCTTTTCTTTAGAAGATTGTCGATAGTGCGATTCTTCGGCGTTTCATCGGAGGGGGGTTTGTAACCGGGTGGAAGGAACGCTGCGATGTCATCCTGTTTGACTTTTTTAAAGAGGTTAGTCAATGCATCCGTCTTGTTTTGTGTAGTTTTTGAGTCGGACTTTGGCACGGTATCGTTTTGCTTCGAATTATAGCCTGGTGGAAGAAGAGCGCCGACATCAGCTTGTTTTATGTTATCGAAAACACTCGGACTTGCTGTTGAACTAGCCGTTCCGTAGGCAGGTTTCATTTTTTTCGAGTTAGTCTCTTCACTTGCGTTAGACACGATCTTCTCGTGATAATCGGGGGGAAGCAAAGCGCTCGTTTCCTTGAATTTAATTTTATGCAGTAGGTGTTCTAAGGTTTTTTGGGATAATTCGGCTTCTTTGCGCTGATTTACGTCCTGCACGATGATTTGATTTTGGTTGGATATTCCCGAGGATCTACCAGTTGTGCCATTCTTCAATTTGATGTCGGGAACGTACAGCTTGACTGGCTGGTCACTTTGGGGTTTGTCAATGTCCACTGGGGAATTCACCTTCCGTGGTTTGAGACCCATCCTGGACCTCGCTGTAGTAGAAGGACGAGCAAGAGGAGAAAACTTTCGGATGACTACTGGTGGAGAACCTGGAGATGACGGCCGACTGGTGACGTTGCCCGAAGATGGGCTATCAAACATTGTAGTCTCATCCGATTTGTCCAGTTGGCCTTCCGTGATAACTGCAATGTTGCTGGCTTCGTTATTGAAGCTACCAGTAAGCAGACTCCCGGATAAGTCTGACTGAACGCGATCTAGTTTATCCGTTAAGCTTTCCGTTGACGTATTTTGCTTTTCACTGGATGATATTGTCGTGGATTCATTTTCAACTGTCGTATTTGAGAAAGTTACCGCCTCTTCTTCGTCTTTCTCGCGTTCGTTGAGAAGTTTAGTTCTTTCGTGTTGCTCCACAACGGGGAAAGGCAAATAACGAGCTCCAGACACGCTGCGGCTAGTCTGAACTGAAGCGACTACAACCCAACCTTCCGTCGAGACCTCCTCTTCACCTAAGGTATGCTTGGGTGCAGACAATTGCGCTTGCAAGTGACTCTCAGTGGTTACATTAGGATCCGAAGTGGTCACCATTTGCTCCGTTACGCTGTAATTAGACGGAAGTGTGTCGATTAAAGTATTGTTTATAATACTTTTGGTCGTTACAACCGATATGACTGTATCCTCCAGATCCTTTACGCGCGGTGGTGGAGGATCTGTATCGATTACAGAGCTATCTACGAATTTTTTGAAATTATCATCCTTTACCATTGTTGCAGGTTTCATGGTTAAAACTTCATAGCCCGATTCTTGCACTGCTGGGGGGTTTACAATTTTGCTGCCATCGACAGAGTTCAGTTCGGTGCTCTCGGTTGTTTCTTCTGAATCTGGAACGAAAGCGGTTGTCGTTTCTTCATCATAGAGAGCCGTTGTATCGTAATCATAATCTTCCGAGTCATCTGTGGCCATATAATCTTCACCACTACTCGTCACATTAGGATCTGGCAAGTAAAATTTGTCAGGCGACACGGTTACCGCCTTTATCACTTCAACGTTGTCTTTGTTGCTTGATGGTTCCGATTTGTCAACAGGCTCTTCCAGCAATGAATCCAAATTAAACGTATTTTCCACTGTTCTTGTGTCTGGAGTTGTAACTTCGTCGTGCTTTTCAGAGTGCGTAGTCGTTCGTTCGTCATGTTCAGGCCTTTTTGTTGTAACGAATACGTCACCGTTCGTATTCACAAAGTAATCGTTGACCTCGGGTCGATTGCCGGTTGCTGGTGCAAAAATTCGCGTTCGATGATTGAGGAAATTCGCTCTGGTACTTCCAGTATAGTGATTGGTAGGAGTCGAATCCAAGTGTTGATCTACGATTCCGTTCGTGTTTTGCGTCTTGTTGGGCACCGCGAATTGGCGGACAGGAAAATGGAGGGAAGGTTGGAAACCTCCAATATTTCGATTTTTAAACTCTATGGGAAGTTCGGCGGGGCTTTGTATCGTAATTTCTCCTAGAAAAGTTTCCGTTTGGGACGGGTCGTGATTGTGCGAATTTTTAGAGAACAGGTGGGAGTAACTGGGTCGATGGGTCGATGGAGAAATCTGTTGAGCAAATGACGGTAACTGAGGCGGAAATTTCTCTCCCGAATTTTCAAATGAGCTAAACTGATACTGCGGTAACCTCCTCTGCAAGTGAGATGGTAAATCCGATGTATCTAAGTCAGATGACGGTATAAAACTATTTCTTCCGAACGCGAGAGGTGTTTTCCTTAACGTGTTAAACTCACTTGAAGTCGGATGATAGGTTTGTGGAAATCGCGGTGTTCCCAGGAAGTAATTTTCTGTAACAAATAAAGCGAGTTATTCAAGGAAATAGAAAGAAATTGAAAGGTGTTAAAGGTATTCATTATCATTCTGGACGGCGCGACTCCTATAAATGAGTGGAACTTCCAAATACGACACGTAGCTGAAGTAGATTTTCGGAGACGTTTATGTTACTTTTAAATAATCTAATAATTTGCACGTGGTCACGTGAGTCGAATTGATAGTCGAGAATATGCATTTTACTTTTACAATGAATATACTGTAACGGAAACGCTCCAGACATGACGTCGCCTTTGGCGCTCTGGAATTTTCTACGCGCGCGATAGTGGGATTTGTGTAGGAATATTCGAGACTGTACGCGAATGTTCTGGACTTACATTGCTTGCGTGTATAAATGGTTGCGGACCGAACATCGCGGCAGTCTACTACCGAACGAGTTCGAGTACGTATGAAACATCGAGCGCGGAAATATAAATTGCGAAGTGTGTGATATAAATAATCGATATAAATTGTACGGTTTTTATAGTGTTTTAGTTTTGTTTAATAAATATTGATATAAATCGAACCCGAATTTATAAATCACGTTACAATACGTTATATAACAATTTTATTGTACATTATATCAGAAGATTTATAGTACCTAGGGGATCCTACGGTCTTAAATGGGGATTTACTCGAGCGTCGTAGGGACTTATTGAACTTTGTAGATTAGATGGTAGAATGTGATCATTTTCTTCATTTCTGATTGCTTTGTTGCAAGGAGCACCATGTCGTCCCCGTATGTTAATGACCATATCTTTTGTTCTCCAATTTTTATTCCTCCTGCTTGCCATTTTCTTAATGCTTCTTCCAGGTCTGCCTGACTCCATTTTCCGTCCAAAAATAATCTTCTTTTTCAAGCTCTTATATAATTCGTTTGTGTCTAGATTATCGAATGCTGCTTTTAGATCTATGAATAAGGGCGTAGACTTTACCTCATTTCTTTTCCAGTCCTTGTTCTACTGTATATGTTGTCTACCGTCCCCCTTCCCTTCCCAAAGCCCATTTGTGAGTATTTCTTTGTCCTCTACTTCTTCATTTAAGCGGTTGTTTAGTATTTTAGCGTAAAGTTTGTATGCTGAGTTTCCCCTATAGTTTTTAATGTCATCTTTGTTTCCTTTTTTGTATATTGGGCATATTTCTCCTTCTTTGCAACTTTCCGGAAATCTTCCTCTCCATACCCTGTTAATAATTTTTCTGATTTGCTGTTTCACCTTTCATTTGTTATTTGGTCTGGTCCAGGAGTTTTCTTTTTTTTCATCTATTCATCTATTTCTTCCCCCCCTTTTCACTTCTTCTTTTTGTTTTTTCCACTCTGAAGCTTATCTGTTCGTTTACACTTTGTATAAGGTAGTTTTTCCCTTCTTCTTCTCCAATGTCGTCCGGTATTCCTTCTTTATTTTTCCTCCCTTTGTTTATAAATTTCCACACTTCATTTTCATTTTTGATGCTTTGTATTTCTCTTATTTCCTCTTTTTGTAATTCTTCTTTTTTGCGTTTGCATGTATTCTTACATTCTCTCTGCTTTGTTCTGTACTCTTCACCTGTGTCTTTTCCTGTTCTCTAATCCATGAGGACTTTTTTTGTAATTTGTTTTTTCTCTTTACATTCTGTGTCCCACCACGTGCTTCTTCCTGGTGTCCAGTTGTTTATTTTTGATGTTTTTTCCTTCACCTTTAGTTATTGCCTTTTTGATTTCTTCTAGTGTAGCATCACATTTAGTTTCTTTGAATCCTATCTTCTTTAGATGTTTTCTTTACTTATCTATTGTTTGTTATGTCCAGATTTGTCTCGTTTTTGTAATTTCTTTTGTTTGTTTCGGGTGTCTTTTTTTAAGTGTTCTTTCCCTTTTTCATTTAGAATAATATAGTCTATTACGGACTGCTCTCTGCTTCCTATGTATGTATACTCTCCCTCTTCGTCTCCTTTCACGTTTCCGTTGAGGATGTACAAACCTTTTTCTTCTACGAAGTTAATCAATTCTTTCCCTTCTTTATTTGTCACGTTATCTTTTGATTTTTTTTTGTTGTCTTCTTCTTCTTCTGTGCTAGCGATCCATGACCCAGGTCGTTATCGATATAATAACTGATTGGTGTTCTAATATTCTGTGATATTTTGTCTATTTTACTTAAGTGTTTTACTGTATTTTAACTTGACCTCTTTTTATTTTATTTATATGTGTAAATTGCTCTGTTAGTAGGTGCACTAGTTTATAGTAAGTCGACGACACTGATATAGTTTATATACTGTGATAGCTAGAACATTAAATTAAAGATTAAAGATTAAAGATTAAAGATTAAAGATTAAAGATTAAAGATTAAAGATTAAAGATTAAAGATTAAAGATTAAAGATTAAAGATTAAAGATTAAAGATTATATACCTTTTTATCTCTTAGGGCTTGTCTGTTCCTCATGATTGCATTTTTTCCCTCCCTATTTGTACATTTTATTAGAATACCTATTTTTCGTTCTCTATTTTGTATTGTACGGGCTTCTGTAGTAGAAATATTTAGTTTTAATTCATTTTTTAGAAAATTTATTGCGTCGGTTTCCTTAATATTACTTGCTTCTTCTCCTTTAATTATAACGTTTTTTCTCTAGTTTGTATATTCTCTCGGTTCTCGTTTTTCTTTGTTCCATTTTTCTTCCTTCTCTTGATTTTGCCTCTTCAGTTCTTGCATTTCCTTTTTAAACTCTTCTCTCATTTCCGTTATTTCTTTTCTGACGTCATTTCTCATTTCTATCATACTCTTGTTAAGGGTTATCATTATGTTTTTAATTTCCTCCATGTTTTCGGGTTTTTCTCCTCCTCCACACACACAGTTCACGTCTTTTGCACACACCCAAGTCCAACGCTGTTATTTCTATCGTATTGTGGTGTAACTACATGCGACTGTCGACTCTCTAGGTTGAAAGAATGCCGAAGATGAGATCGTCGTAGTGTAAAAATACGTATTGTTAAAGTAATTTCGGTCAGAAGATCGGAAATTGTAATCGGAATATCCTGTATACCTATAGCGTAATTCAAGTTATTTTTTTATTTCAAATGGACACAGAATGGGAAAATTTTGTTGAACTATCATTTTTAATGTTGTAATTGTTTAATTCATTAATTCGATTTCTTGTATTTAGTTTGTATGATAAATTTTAAACGCGTAAATAATTTAATCGTAATGTTAAAAAGTTTCATCTGGTCAGATATTGGTAAAAAGGGAGGTAAAAAGTTATTATCGGACAACACAAACATTTGGTTCAAATCATGTTCAAACCATTTGTACTCATATTGGCGTTATGGGCAGGAGCACCGTCTTGCTGGAAAAACATATTCTGCCTCACAATCAGTCACAGTTTTTCAAGATGCGCCGAGATCATTTGCGAGAAGATACATTAATGTGCCGTCAATAACGGGCTAACGACCAAAGATATCGCACTCACTCTCACCTCTGTCACTTCCCTTGGGTTTCTTGGACCTAACCATAATGTTGTTGTTGGTAAAGGTGCATTCGTCAGACCACAGAATTTTGAATGGGAAATTTGGATTTTCGTGACCAATTTGAAAAGGTTTTGCAGTATCATTTGTTTCTAAATGTTAAATGTAAATGTAAAATATCGTATTTTTTAAAACGTGTTAGATGGTGTAATTTAAAATCGATTAAATATGACTATATTCCTTCAATTTTCGCCTTAGGTCTGAATCTTGGACCAGGATGTCAAATCCGGCGTTTGGGTCACGTGGTGTGAATTGGACAAAATGTGTGTACTTTAATTTTTCAAAAGCTAGAAGCATATAAATGACCATTACGTAAATCTGAAAATTAAAATACCTACTCTTGTAAAACGTATTGGAAAATGGCCTCAATAGGATGAAAGGAAGTCGTACGCCCCATTACCATCAAGTGGTATTTACCTTTTTTCAATAGCACGTCATAAAATATTCGGAAGTAATTGCTCGTTACATTTTACGGTTTCCCTATTACAATTTCAATTTGAATACCTAAGGATACGATCCGAGGTGTATCGTGTTTTCCTGTCGTGTTTACCAAACAACGATAAAATCGATAGGTTCAAAAGGTATTTAATTAAGATCCCCTTGGGAAATCTCTGAAACGAGACTTCCCCAATGTAAGTGTCAATCAGTCGTTTTCAATGGCAAAAGACACCCGGAAGGTGGATAAATTCGCATTTATCAAAGTGCTAACAATCGTTTTAGCTTGAATTGTGAGTTGGCGTTGAAATTTTGCATAATATATTCAATTATTGACATGCTAATGAGGCGCTAGGAATGTTTGTAACAACTACACGATTATCTTTCCCGAACGTGAGCGTACAACACGTGTACAACATTGAGATTGTAAATCTCGACGCTCTTTGCGTCGTGTCAAAAGGAAAACTCACACGAAAGTGGGTAGGTAGCTCAAGGGAATTAAGACCAATTAGGGCCCATACGTCTGCGAGGACTACTGGCAACCTTCGCTTTTTCAGGCGTTACGAAAACTCATTAACAGCGCCTGAACTATATTTGAAAACCGTTTACCTACTCTCTTATTGCCTCTTAGAACAGTTTTCTCGTGTTCCTTGCCTCCGCACTTCCACAACTGGCTTTTGTACGGCTTTCAAATACCTCGAAAATTAGATTCACTATCCTCCTATGTACTGTCCTTCTGCACTTTGAGCTTTACTTAAAGTATGAATGACTATAACATGCAACAGGCTTTTGCGATAAAATTAGTTGAACTTCTTTTCCTTTTCGAAATGAAATTTTTTTAAATAAACTCGCAGATTCTTTAGCGAAAATTGTTACTTGACCAACGGATAGTTTCCTTCTGCTTGATTTTCCTATGAATTTGTTCGTAATTTTAAACACAAAATTACCACAACGTTTTGAATAGGTATATTGACGAAAATATGTACGTACATTACCCTTCACAAGTCTTGCTATTTAAGATTATCGAAATTGAACAAAATCAATTTTGTGGCC